ACCTTTTCCAAGCTGCACGGTGAGAATCACCAGGAGTGTGGTATAACTTATGACCCTTTCCAAGGCCACAGATCTTTTGGCCTGCAGACGTCAGCCCATGCATCTCCCTTTGCTTATGGACTGCTTTTGTGATCCAATGGGAGTCAGGATTTTTTTCTGACACCTGTATGAAATGGATGAATGAGGATAATCTCAAAAATTTTGTATGTTGAATCTTCACCAAACTAAAAACTCAGGACTCTTATCTGGACATGGTGACTCACACCTGTAATTCCAGCCCTTTGGGAGGCCAAGGTGGGCAGATCACTTGAGGACAGGAGTTCAAGATCAGCCTGGCCAATATGGTGAAACCCCATGTCTACTAAACATACAAAAATTAGCCAGGCATGGTGGTGCATGCCTATAATTCCAGCTGCTCGGGAGGCTGAGGCATGAGAATTGCTTGAACCAGGAGGCGGAGGTTGCAGTGAGTGGAGATTGTACCACTGCAGTCCATTCTGGGCAGCAGAGCAAGACCGTCTCAAAAAAAAAAATGCATATACATATAAATAAAAGAAGTCTTAAAATGTATGTATATATGTATAAATAAAAATGTATGTACATGTATGTGTGTGCGTGCAAACACACACACACACACACACACACAAACACACATATGAATTCAAGACTCTTAGAATCCCACAGTGGCATCCAGCTTTCTCCTCTGCAATGGACTTCGAGCATACTTATCTGGTTACGACTACGATGGACAGACAGGCTTGCCATAAGCTGCACCATTAGGAAGTGGGCATTTTCAGCTACCACAGTGTACATGAATCCTATATCTCATGTAACCTTGCTTGGCCTTGTAGCCCAGTCAGCACACTTTATTGGGCTGGGTGAGGTATGGAGCTCTGTGATAGAGCAGAGAGCTGGCAGTACTTGCTAGCAGGGACTCTCAGAAGAAAGTGCATGACATCAGACTGCTTCTTCCTCCACAGCTCCTGGATGTACTTATATGAAGCTATCTTGGCTTACCTGATGGCTGCTGCCAGACAGAAAGCAAAGAGCCTTTCTCCCCCATTATTTATTTTCATATATGAATAGAAGGCTAGAAAATTTTCTAGTGCCATTATGGTTTTATCTTATGGGTTTTGGTATGCAGGCCCTTCATTATTATTTTCAACACAGCTATAGTTTTGGCCTTAATTTCCACTTTCTTTCAGCTTCTTGCTCATTAATTTGCTCTTAAATTCTTTTCATCCGTCTATTCAACCCATCTACTATTTTTATTTTCACCATCATAACCTTGTTTTCTAAGAGCTCTAATACAATTTTAGTTTTATTTTTGTTTATTTTTTGATCTTGGAGAAATTTATTGTGATGAAAGGAACAAAATAGAGATTCCAATTTATCTTCCTTTCCCAATGGTAATTACCATACTTTGAAATTCCATCTCTAACATATATTAAATTCTCAAATATAACAGCAATAATAGTAATAACTAATAATTATTGTATACTTATAAAATCCTAAAAACAAACTTTTGCAGTAAGTTCTAGTATTGGTTTCAGTTTGTAGATGAGGAAAGTGAGGCATAGAGCAACTCATACAAATTAACATAAAATTCATGTCATAACCAATTGTTCTTAAATTAGTATTAAAAAATAATATTTTCTGGAGAACACAAGCACAGACAGGATGGGGGACTCACCCAAGATCACAATGGAAGACTGAAAATACATGTCATAGCTCCTAAAATTTTAATTCATTCATTTCTGCAGTAAGCCACGCGGTCTGGCATCAGCCCTTTTAGTAAAGTCCATTTCATTCATGACAGTCATAATTTTGTTTCTCAAGTTCTGTTATTAATACTGCTTTTCTTTTCTTTTCTTTCTTTCTTTTTCTTTTTTAAGATTTTAATTCAAAAGAGCATTCAGAGCACTAGAAGCAGCAATTTGTGCGGTAATACTTTGGCCAATTCCCCCTTTAATAATATGATTGTTGTAGGAGCTCTTATTTTCATATTGAAATGCTCATTGTATTCTTTTTTGGGGGCATACTTTCAGTGATTGTATTAAAACCCAAGGTCTTGTTGGTAGCTCACCTAGAGGTAAAATAAAGCTGCTTCCCCCAACTACAGCCATACCATTCATTATTAGATGATTAGTGATGAAGTTTAGAAAAACACTGTACACTTCAGTTCTTTCTGTTCTTGGAGAAAATCCTCCCTTGTTTTCTTTTATAGCCTCCATGCATTTGAATTTCAAAGGTAGGAATGTTGTATAGTAAGCCTCTTGGTGATGAAGCAGTTATAAGCCTTCCCAAGGAAGACTAGGGAAATGACAATGTTTTATAACTCAAAATCATTTAATTAAGACACATTTTGAGAGACGCATTCTAACTCTACTGTTAGCACTTCATGTTATTTGTATTTGCAGTCCTTATAAAAACAAATTAATAAGGGTTCAAGTTCAGGAGAACCTGAATTTCATCTGTATATGATTTTCACAGGCAGAAACATTAACTCCTATTAAGGCTAGAAGAATTATCTAAGCCAGAAAGGTGGGAGTTACACTTATCACTCTCTTTACCACATTTAATTGTACCAATTCCTTTGGATTTGACATTTTAAATATCACCTTAACTTAATCTCACCCTTCTCTACCTATAGCTTTAAAGTACTTTCAGCATTTCTCTCTTGATATATTACAATGAACAGATATTAGATCTCTTCGTTTCTACAATCCAAATTCCACACACTTCCCAGTTTGCTTTTTCAAATGCAGAATTGATGATTTACTTCATTTTTAAACGTCTGTTCAGATCCATTGCCTGTATGTTAAAAGCCAGGTTCCTCAATATGGCATAGTAAGGCCCTTTAGGATCTGAGGCTTCATATCTTCCAACCTCTTCCCCTCTGTTTTTAGATCCCTAATTGCAGTTTTCTGAATGCAGTATGCTTGGGCCTTTTCATGCCAATTGCTTAGAATGCTTCACACTAGCCCATTTATCTGACATCATCCATTAAAATTTACTTCAAACATTACCTCTTTGGGGATCTTTGTTTAATGTACCTTCCCTCTTTTTGATTTATCTTACTGCTCATATTCTCTCATAGCAAGGACTAAATGGTGTTTCTCTGTGATTCCAAAGGATGAGTGTAGTAGTGTGATCTCGGCTGACTGCAACCTCTGCCTCCTGGATTCAAGCCACTCTCCTGCCTTAGCCTCCCGAGTAGCTGGGGTTACAAGTGCATGCTACCACATCTGGCTAATTTTTTGTATTTTTAGTAGAGATGGAGTTTCACTGTGTTAGCTAGGATGGTCTCGATCTCCTAACTTCGTGATCCACCCACCTTGGCTTCCCAAAGTGCTGGAATTACAAGTGTGATATACTGGCACTCTTTATTAAAAACTTAGCTTTGTGGGCCAGATGCGGTGGCTCATGCCTGTAATCCCAAAACTTTGGAAGGCCGAGGTGGGCAGATCACGAGGTCAGGAGTTCGAGACCAAACTAGGCAATACGGTGAAACCCTGTCTCTACTAAAAATACAAAAATTAGCCAGGAATGGTGGCATGTGCCTGTAGTCTTAGCTACTCAGGAGGCTGAGGCAGAAGAATCACTTGAACCTGGGAGGTGGAGGTTGCAAACGGCCTAGTAGCAGAAACTAAAAGGTTCACAGAGACAGGTGGAATGCAAAGAATACTAAGCAGAGAGAAGTTATAATGGTGTCTTTGGAGCAACAAGAGAATGAGGCAGGAAGAGAACCAAATAAACTGATATAAACAGTTTCTGATGACTATTCAATTCCCAGGAGATGAGCTTGAATAACTTCCAAAAATATTCAACATATTTTTCTATTATTATATTAAATTTTCTTGAGTTTTTTGGGGTGTGGGTCTGTTTCTTAATTAATTAATTTCCTGAATATATCAGGCTTTAATAAATGTTTATCGTCCTGGTGTTATTACCCGGATGCATATGATGTGGGACTACAAATAATGAGGGCTATTCACAGAATTGACTTGGGATGATTTGAGATTATCAAGTTATTAAATCTATTACAAGAATTTTGGATCTAGAAGAGACCTATGAGGAACATCTAGTTCAAATTCTCAAATTTTGGAGAAGAGAGGCCAAGAGAAAATGATTTGCCAAACTTTGACATTGAATTAGAGGTCTCAGAATTAGAACTGTGGTTTCCTGATAGCCAGTCTAGTTTTCACTTGACTACATGTTCTGAGTTAGACAGTATAACCCCCTAGATTCATATCTACTTGAAACTGAAGAATGTGACCTTATTTGGACTAGCATCTTCGCAAATGTAATCATTTAGGATGAGGTCACACTCAATTAGAGTGGACTTTAATCCAATATGACTGGTATCCTTACAAGAAGGAAAAATACAAGAAGGAAAACAGGGAGAATGCAATGTGATGACACAGCAGAGATTAGAGTGATGAAGCTGTGAGCCAAGGAACACCAAGGATTGCTGCTACGAGAAGGCAGAAAGAGGCAGGGAAGAAAGGATTCTCCTCTACAGCTTTTAGAGGTACTGCTGACCTCTGAGTGTAGGTTTCCGGCTGCAGAATTGTGATTATAAGTCTCTGTTGTGTTAAGTCATCTAGTTTATAGTACTTTGTTATGGCAACCTTAGGAAACCAAATATACTGCCACATGCTACACCTTTTAGTATAAAGAGATTCTTCCCTGACTGTCACCGAAAAAGTATAGAAAAATTACATTCTTCAAACAGGAAGGAAATAGCTTTTTCTGTTGGGTATATCAATCTTAACTTTTAAATTCTTCAATGTGCTTAGCTATACTTTTGTGCCACTTAGAAATTATAGTATTGTTCATCTTCGAATTTTCAAGAAAGTATGTCACTAGGAAATTTGCTTTTAACATTTTAAGGAATAATGGTGGCAGGCATATGGAGTGTGTGTGTGTGTACGTGTATATGTGTCTTATGGATTTTCTGTTATATGATATTCTGAAATATGTTTTTTAATTTTCAGATTACTAAAGCTAAAGGAGATGTTTAACTCCAAGTTTGGATCTATTCCCAAGTTTTATGTTCGAGCACCAGGAAGAGTCAACCTAATAGGTATTTCAAAAGTTCCTTCTCTTAATTTTTTTCTTCCTCCTTTGGTAAGATCTAAATTTTTACAAATATTTTTTTCTTAATTTTTCCAAAAATAGAATATTTTACATATATCTACTAAGATGTGCCTTTGCATAAGGAACACACTTTACTTTCATCTTTCCCAATCCATGTTATTAGTATTGTTCATTTGTTTTTTAAATGTATACATTTGTTGAAACCAAGTTGTTAATATTATTTTCATGGAAAATGAAAATATTCTTCTAGGCCAGAGGTTAAAATTCTAGACTGTGGTAAGTAGTTTTGATGGTTTTATATTTACTCATTGGTATAGGGTTGCGGAGGCCCCACAGGGTCGTGGGGTGTCCCTTATGCTGTATTGAGGTACAGGATCCAAGAGGTAAAGAGACAGGACACTGAAGAACTAGTGAAAAACATCTGGACTTGAGGGGCCATACCACCTGTCAGCGGAGATCAGTGGCGGCCCCCAAATGCCCAAGAGCATCTGTATTTATTAGGTACAAGCAGGGGGCAGGATCTTGAGTGAGGTGATCATCTATATGCTTAGTAATAGGGTATAGATAATCATGTGAGTTAGAAGCGAGGGGACCCCCATTATGTCACCTGGGCAGAGAGGTGGGCCGTGCACATCAGGGGGCTGTGCCCTGCACAGTAGTAGATGGTTGTGACAGAAAAGGGGTCCACCCCCATTAGGTCACCAAGGCAAGGAGGTGGGCTGTGTGCAACAGGTGTCGTGCGCACCACTTCTTATCTGTGGGCTGGAGACTTCAAAGGATTTCTAATAGAAGGATACTGTAAGCTTAATGCACTGGGAGCTGACAGACTTGTGCTTTTCTCTTAAGATATTTATAGGAGGATTCTTTGAGTTAGCACAGAAGCGAGAAAAGACTGACAGGGTGTACAGCTGCAGTGACTGGTCACACCAGAGGAGTTCTTCTCTTTTGGTTACTTCCAGGATCTCAGGCCTGAGGCCTACTTTCCACAGGAACTGGATGCAAGGTACTACAACTCCTTTATCAGGAGGAGAGGCACTTGCTCCAAGCCTGCCATACAGCCTATGCCCTTTCAGACAGGGACGCCACCGCCTGGATCTTTTGTTCTTGTCCTGGTCTGGCTGTTTTCCCAAGTACTGCTTCTGTTCTGTGACTGCTCTAGACATTCCCCCTACTACAAACTACTATATGGTTATATAAAAGGATCATATAAATCAGCACTAAATGTGTCAGTACAGCTCCAACTACAATACCTATATGATTATATAAAACTAAGTATGCTAGATATATGTAAGCAGTAAGTTACACTTGAAGCACTAATTCTATAAACGAATACATGATTATATATGAATGATTATATAAAGGAAACAGCTGAGCAATAACACTCTAAACTAAGATATTCTTCAGGTACTAGTTGTGCCTGGGGTCTGGACAGTTCTTTCCTCGGTGCCCATGGAGGGTGTTACCCACACATTGGGTTAGAGGAGCACAGGGAAACCTTACAATTTCTCGCTACTAAAAGTGTGCTCGATTTTGCAGGTCTTCTAGATGAATTTATCTTTCCTTTTGTTTATCCTGTGAAGTACTTTGAATTTTACTACCTTTTAGTGATAAATAACTCAGCCTTAAAACATTTTGCTTACTATCATTTTATCAATGTCCATATGTAATAATTGACATAGTTGTACTTAGATTACATACCATTTTAATCTTATTTTTTCCTTTAGTATGTCATGAATATTTCCATGTATCTGTTTCTATTTTCTGCTACTATATCAGAGTTCCACAGATGAGGTAATTTATAAACAATAGAAGTTTATTTGGCTCATGATTCTGGAGGTGGACAAGTTCAAGATCATGGTACTGGCATCTGGTGAGGGCCTTCTTAATGAGTTATTCTATGGTGGAACGGCAGAAGGGCCAGAGAGCATGCAAGAATAGAAAGGAAGTCAGGAAAGGGTACAGTTTCTGCTTTCTGCACATGGCTAGCCAGTTTTCCCAACACCATTGATTAAACAGAAATCCTTTCCACACTGCTTGTTTTTGTGAGGTTTGTCAAAGATCATATGGTTGTCCCTTCCTAACACCTTACACTAAAATTAACTCCATTAAAGACTTAAACATAAGACCTAACACTGTAAAAACCCTAGAAGAAAATCTAGGCAAAACCATTCAGGACATATCATAGGCAACGACTTCATGACTAAAACACTAAAAGCATTGGCAACAAAAGCCAAAATAGACAAACGGGACCTAATTAAATTCCAGAGCTTTTGTACAGCAAAAGAAACAATAATCAGAGTGAACCAGCAACCAAAAGAATGGGAAAAATTTTTGCAATCTACCCATCTGACAAAGGGCTAATATCCAGAATCTACAAAGGACTAAAACAGATTTACAAGATAAAAACAAGCCCATTCAAAAGTGGGTGATGGATATGAACAGGCACTTTTCAAAAGAAGACATCGATGAGGCCAACAAACATATGAAAAAATGCTCATCATCACTGATTATTAGAGAAATTCAAATCAAAACTACACTGAGATACGGTCTCACACCAGTTAGAATGGTGAACATTAAAAAATCTGGAGACAACAGATGCTGGAGAGGATGTGGAGAAATAGGGACATTTTACGCTGTTGGTGGGAGTGTAAATTAGTTCAACCATTGTGGAAGACAGTGTGGCGATTCCTTAAGGACCTAGAAATAGAAATTCTATTTGACTCAGCAATCCCATTACTGGGTATATATCCAAAGGATTATAAATCGCTCTATTATACGGACACATGCACACGAATGTTCACTGCAGCACTGTTTACAATAGCAAAGACTTGGAACCAACCCAAATGCCCATCAATGATAGACTGGGCAGGGAAAATGTGGCACATATACACCATGGAATACTATGCAGCAATAAAAACGATTAGTTGGTGTCCTTTGTAGGGACATGGATGAACCTGGAAACCATCATTCTCAGCAAACTGACACGAGCAGAAAATCAAACACCGCATGTTCTCACTCATAGGTGGGTGTTGAACAATGAGAACACATGGACACAGGGAGGGGAGCATCACATGCTAAGGTCTGTGAAGTGGGGAACTAGGGGAGGGACAGTGGTGGGGGTGGGGGTGGGGAGTTGGGGAGGGATAACAAGGGGAGAAATGCCAGATATAGGTGATGGGGAGGAAGGCAGCAAACCACATTGCCATGTATGTACCTATGCAACTGTCCTGCATGTTTTTCACATGTGCCCCCAAACCTAAAACTCAATAAAATAAAATTTAAAAAAAATAGGAAGTATACTGAATTTCATCCTTTAATCAGGAACCCACTCCTGAGATAACTAACTCACTCTGGAGATAATGGCATTAATCTGTTCCTGAGGGCAGAGCTCTCGTGATATAATCATCTCTTAAAAGTCCCAACTCTTAATATTGTCACAGTGGCAATTACATTTCATTATCAGTTTTGGATAACATTCAAACCATAGCATTGTGGTTCTGTATAGTGCTCATAATTAATTTAATGACTTCACGATAGCTTACTAAATTAATATTATATAATTTATTTGACAACTTTCCCTCATTGTAACTTAAGCTATTTCCAGGTTTTGTTTTTACCATTATATCAGGTAGTTTCATAAAAGGGACACTTTAGGTTCATTTTATCATTACTGATGAGTATTGCTTTTTTGGTTTATTTGTTTTCAAGGATAGAAATTAGAAGTAGTAGAATAGAGGATGTACTCTCTTTCATAAGATTTAGTAATATTTTTTTCCATAAAAAAATATTGAACTTACAAGCACAGACTTGTAAAGGTCCCCAACTTAATGATGGTTCAATTTGTGATTTTTTTTACATTTTTTTTTTTGAGATGGAGATTTGCTCTGTGCTGAGGCTGGAGTGCAGTGACATGATTTCAGCTCACTGCAACCTCTACCTCCTAGGTTCAAGCGGTTCCCCTGCCTCAGCCTCCCAAGTAGCTGGGACTATGGGCGTACACCATCACACATGATTCATTTTTGTAGTTATAGTAGAGACAGGGTCTCATGATGTTAGCTGGACTGGTCTAAAACTCTTGACCTCAAGAGATCCACCTGCCTTGGCCTCCCAAAGTGCTGAGTTTACAGGCATGAGCCATTGCACCTGGCCTCTAGCTACAATCTTGTATGTGTTAACTAACCTCTCCCTACCTGTCCTCCCTACATGTTATCCTTCCCAGTCTCTAGTAACCACTATTTTACTTTCTATTTTTATGAGATCAACTTTTTTAGCTTCCATATATGAGTGAGAACATGAGGTATGTGTCTTTCTGTGCCTGATTTATTTCACTTAACATAATGTCCTCTAAGCTTAACATAATGTCCTCCATGTTGGTATGAATAATAGGATTTCACTCTTTTAGGTGGGTGGCTGAATAGTATTCCATTGTACATGTATACCCCATTTAAAAAATCCATTCTCATGCCTGTAATCCCAGTATTTTTGGAGGCCGAGGCAGGCGGATCACAAGGTCAAGAGATTGAGACCATCCTGGCCAACATGGTGAAACCCTGTCTCTACTAAAAGTACAAGAATTATCTGGGCATGGTGGCACATGTCTGTAATCCCACCTACTCCAGAGGCTGAGGCAAGAGAATCACTTGAACCCAGGAGGCAGAGGTTGCAGTGAGCTGAGATCATACCATTGCACTCCAGCCTGGGTAACAAGAGCAAAACTCCATTTCAAGGAAAAAAAAATCCATTCATCTGTTGATGGACATTTATGTTGATTCCATATCTTGACTATTGTGAATAGTGCTGCAATAAACAAGAGGGCCAGATATCTCTTTGACATACTAATGTCCTTTTCACTGTATATATATCTAGTAATGGGATTGCTGGATCGTATGGTGGTTCTATTTTTAGTTTTTTGAGGAGCCTTCGTACTGTTTCCCACAATTGTGGGATCAGTTGCAACTCAGATTCCTTCTGCTGAGATTGAGAATTCTGTGTTGCCCACGGCTAATCTAAATGCTCTCTCGTTGGGTGCTAGCATAATTCTGCTCTCTTTTGTGTTTTGCTGTAACACCGCAGCACTGAGTTCCAGTTCAAAGAACCACACTCCCCTCACTCCCCCTGCCCCAAACACAGTTTCTCTCTTCACGCTGGGAGGGATCCTGTAGGCAATGCAAGACTGTCTTTCCTGTCCTCTTCAATTCCTCTATCCCTGATGTTATGTTAAAACCAGGTACTATGATCGTTCACCTGAATTTTCTGGGTTTTTTTGAAGGTATTTCTTGCATAGATGGTTGTTCAGTTTGGTGTAAGATCATGGAAGGGTTCTATTTGGCCATCTTGCTCTGCTTCTCTTTATTTTTATTTACTGTTAAAACCTGGCTCCTGGTCAGTTTTTTCCCTGTATGTAAAATTTCTTGAGGTTCTTTTGTTTTATATATTAGCAATGATTTTACAAGCTTTCTCTTTTTCTAGGAGAGCATGTAGATTACTGTGGATATTCTGTTCTTCCTATGGCTGTAGAACAAGATTTGCTAATAGCTGTAGAACCTGTGAAAACATGCACTCTCCAACTGGCCAATACAAATCCGTTGTATCCGTGAGTATTTAAAATTGCTAATGTGTTTGTATATATGGTGCTGTTTTTGCCCAAATGAACTATTTAGGAGACATCAAATTTATAACAACTCATTTAATTTACTGATATTTTGTACCTGATATTAAAAAAATTCTAAGGCCATGATTTATTGTTTGTTCATTTTGTTCATTTGTCCATTCATTTAAGGAATATTTACCAAAGACATATCATGTCCTAGACATAGTCTTAGATATCAGGTGATACAAATATAAAAATAACTCTGTCCTTGCCCAAAAGGTACTTATCATCTAATTGATCTAATTATCTCCAGCAAAGTCAGGTCTGTTGTTTTCCTATGTTAGTATGGTAGCTTCTAAGTATCTTGTCATAGCATCTTACTGTGCTGCATTGTTATTATCTGTTTATTTACCTGTGTTACCCAGTAGACTGTAAACTCTGACTTCAGGCACTGTTGTCTCTCTTCTCCAATGCACTAGCATATAAAATAGAGTCTGGTGCCTAAAAGAGTTAAGTATGCTTATCTAGTATATATGCCTTATCAATTCAATGAAGTCTTTTAAAAAAAATTCTTAGTTTGCTAAGATTAAGTATACTAATGGGTATTGAGTTTAATTAAATGTCTATTTAGTATTGAAGATCCATTAAAAAAATATGGTGAATTAGTCTGATGAATTTTCTAATGTTGAGCCCTTTTGTGTTTCTGGGATAAACTCTACTTGCTTCTAATGTATTATAATGGATTTCACTTGCTCATTACAGAAAAAGATTTTGGCTTATATTTGGCATATATATGTTTGGCTTGTTGTTCATTGGTTAGTTTATCTGCAGTAACATTCATTTATTCAGAAAATGTTTTTGATAAGGCTCTATACCAGCTTGTGCAAGACAGAGAAGTTTTTTACTTTTATATGGAACTTATTGTAGAATATCTATTTTACTTTTCATTTTGCATGTTTGATAATATATCTTGTGTGTATTTTGGACCCTTGAAAAGCTCATATTATCTCAAACATATTTTCATGTAATTGTTTATGAACATTTAAAAATCAGTACATATTTTGTCATATTGATTTAGTCAAATTTAATTAATTCCAACAATAATGAATATGTGGTTTCAGTTTCATTTTTCACAAAATCAGATCTTGAGACAGACCTGGATGAAGGTCGTTTATTTGAGAAATGGTCCCAAGAGCAGTAGGAAAGAGCATGAATAATAAGTTAGGCAATTAGAGGTGAATTATCCAGATATATAGTCCCTCCTGTGGGCAAGAGGCTTGATTCTACTAGGACTCCTAGAAAGCATGCAGTATACCTCCTAGAATTGTCCCTTTGTTCTAGCATTCATTGTGTAGATATACCTTAATTTGTTTATCTACTTACCAGTGATGGACATTTAGATCATTCCCAGTTTTTGCCTGTAGGAATAATGCTGCTATGAATATTTATATACAAATGTATATGTGGACATATGTTTCATTTCTGTTGGGTAAACACCCAGGAATGGAGTGTCTGGTTTGCAATTAATTAATTAATTAATTAATTTGTTGAGAAAGAGTCTCACCCTATTGCTCAGGCTGGAGTGCCATGGGGTGATCTTGGCTCACCTCAACCTGTGCCTCCCAGTTCAAGAGATTCTCCCACTTCAGCCTCCTGAGTAGCTGGGACTACAGGCACATGCTATCAAACCTGGCTAATTTTTGTATTTTTTGGTACAGACAGAATTTCACCATGTTGACCACACTGGTCTTGAACTACTGACCTCAAGTGATCTACCTGCATTAGCCTCCCAACGTGCTGGGATTACAGGTTTCAGCCACTGCTTCCGTCTTGGTTATGGTTTGACTGTGTCCCCACCCAAATCTCATCTTGAATTGCAACTCCCACGATTCCCATGTTCCTGAAAGGAACCTGGTGGGAGATAATTGAATCATGGGGGCAGGTCTTTCCCATGCTGTTCTCATGATAATGAATAAGTCTCATGAGATCTGATAGTTTTAAAAATGGGAGTTTCCCTGAATAAGCTCTCTTTTTGCCTGCCACCATCCATGTAAGATGTGACTTGCTCCTCCTTGCCTTCTGCCATGATTGTGAGGCTTCCTCAGCCATGTGAAATTGTAAATCCATTAAACCTCTTTCTCAGTCTCAGGTGTATCTTTATTAGCAGCACGAAAACAGACTAATACAGCCTTTTAAAGAAATTTTCTGGTTGGGCATGGTGGCTCATGCCTGTAATCCCAGCATTTGGGAGGCCAAGGTGGGTGGACCACTTGAGCCTGCAGTTCAAGATCAGCTTGGACAGCATGGTGAAACCTCATCCCTACTAAAAATACAAAAAAAATTAGTTGGGCATGATGGCATGCACCTATAATCCTAGCTACTCAGGAGGCTGAGGCAGGAGAATCACTTAAATCTGGGAAGAGGAGGTTGCAGTAAGCTGAGATTGCACCACTGTACTCCAGCCAGGATGACAGAGCAAGACTCCACCTCAAAAACAAACAAACAAACAAAAAAACAAATTGAACAGTCTACATGTAGGAAAAATAAAATCCTTTGCGAACAAGCAAGTACTCAGAGATTTCATCACCACCAGACTTGCTTTCAAGAGCTGCTGAAAGAGGCTCTACACATATAAAGGAACAACCAGTACGAGCCACTCCAAAAACATACCAAATGGTAAACAGCATCAACATAATCAAGAATCTGCATCAACTAATGAACAAAACAGCAAGCTAGCATCAAAATGGCAGTATCAAATTCACACATAACAATACTATCCCTAAATGTAAATGGACTAAATGCCCCAATCAAAAGACACAGACTGGCAAATTGGATAAAAAGCCAAAACCCATCAGTGTGCTGTATCCAGGAAACCCATCCTACATGCAAGGATGCACAAAGGCTCAAAATAAAGGGATGGAGGAAGATTTACCAAGCAAATGGAGAGCAAAAAAAAGCAGGAGTTACAATTCTCATCTCTGATAAAATAGACTTTAAGGCAACAAAGATCAAAAGAGACAAAGAAGGACATTACATAATGGTAAAAGGATCAGTGCAACAAGAAGAACTAATGATCCTAAATATATACGCACCCAATACAGGAGCACCCAGATACATAAGGCAAGTTCTTAATGACTTACAAAGAGAGACTCCCACACAATAATAGTGGGAGACTTTAACACGCCATTGTCAATATTAGATAGATCAACTAGACAGAAAATTAAGAAGGATATCCAGGACCTGAACTCAGAACTGGAACAAGCAAACCTAATAGACATTTACAGAACTCTCCACCCCAAATCCACAGAATATACATTCTTCTCAGCACCACATCACACCTACTCTAAAATTGACCACATAATTGGCAATAAATCACGCCTCAGCAAATGCAAAAGAATGGAAATCATAACAAACAGCCTCTCACATCACACTGCTATTGAGTTAAAACTCAGAATGCAGAAACTAACTCAGAACCATGCAGCTTCATGGAAACTGAACAACTGGCTCTTGAATGTTGACTGGATAAACAATGAAATGAAGGCAGAAATAAAGATGTTCTTTGAAACCAATGAGAATGAAGACACAGCATACCAGAATCTTTGGGACACATTTAAAGCAGTCTCTAGAGGAAAATATATAGCAATAAGTGCCCACATGAGAAGGAAGGAGAGATCTAAAATTGAAACCCAAGCATCAAAATTGAAAGAGCTAGAGGAGCAACATTAAAAAAACTCAAAGCTGAGCAGAAGACAAGAAATAACTAAGATCAGAGCAGAACTGAAAAAGATAGAGACACAAAAAACCCTTCAAAAATTCAATAAATCCAGGAGCTGGTTTTTCAAAAAGATCAACAAAATAGACAGACCACTAGCCAGATTAATAAAAAAGAAAAGAGAGAATAACCAAATCGATGCAATAAAAAATGATAAAGGGGGTATCACCAGATTCCACAGATATTCAAACCATCATCAGAGATTATTACAAACAACTCTATGCACATAAACTAGTAAACCTGGAAGAAATGGATAAATTCCTGGACACTTGCCTCCTCCCAAGCCTAAACCAGGAAGAAGTCAAAACCCTGAATAGACCAATAACAAGGTCTGAAGTTGAGGCAGCAATTAAGAGCCTGCCACCCAAAAAAAAGCCCAGGTCCAGATAGGTTCACAGCTGAATTCTACCAGACATACAAAGAGGAGCTGGTACCATTCCTTCTGAAACTATTCCAAATAATCCGAAAAAGAGGGAACCCTTCCCAAATCATTCTATGAGACAAACATCATCCTGATACCAAAACCCAGCAGAGACTCAACAAGAAAAGAAAACTTCAGGCCAATATCCATGATGAACGTAGATGCAAAAATCTTCAGTAAAATACTGGCAAGCCGACTGCAACAGCACATCAAAAAGCTTATCCACCATGATCAAGTAGCCTTCATCCCGGGGATGCAAGGCTGGTTCAACATACGTAAGTCTATAAACGTAATTCACCACATAAAAAGAACCAAAGACAAAAACCACATGATTATCTCAATTGATGCGGAGAAGGCCTTTGACAAAATTCAACAGTCTTTTATGCTAAAAACTCTCAATAAACTAGGTATTGACGGAACGTATCTCAAAATAATAAAAGCTATTTATGACAAACCAACAGCCAATATCATACTGAACGGGCAAAAACTGGAAGCATTCCCTTTGAAACGTGGCACTAGACAAGGATGCCCTCTCTCACCACTCCTATTCAATATAGTACTGAAAGTTCTAGCCAGAGCATTCAGGCAGAAAAAGAAATAAAGGGTATTCAAATAGGAAAGGAGGAGGTCAAATTGTCTCTATTTGCAGATGACATGATTGCATATCTAGAAGACCCCATTGTCTCAGCCCAAAATCTCCTTAAGCTGATAAGCAACTTCAGCAAAGTCTCAAGATACAAAATCAATGTGCAAAAATCACAAGCATTCCTATACGCCGATAACAGACATAAAGAGAGCCAAATCAAGAAC